AAGCTGTTGGGGGAAGAATAAGTTTTGTGTTATGTGTTTCCTTGACTGATGAACCCTTCCGTATCGAAGGTGAAGCGCTTCAGCACAAAAAAAGAAACTGTTCAGACGACTTGACTGAAAAATGTTGGATTGTAATTCTGGATTATTGAGCATGGACGTTGTTGTTTTTAACCAGTTTGACACGACTGTCAACAAGGAAGAGGGCCGACAGTGGACAAAGGAGCATGACAAAGAGACCATCTTTGGAAGGGTTTGCTGGGAACGTCTGGCAGAGTCTCTTGTGAGATGCAGCTTTAACTCCCACCTCCGGGAGAAATTTGAACATGTTCCCGGTGAGGTAGGGGACATTGAATCCGAGTGGGCCATTTTCCATGCCTCCATTGTTTAGGCAACTTACCGGAGCTGTGGCCGCAAGGTTGTCGGTCCCTGTTGTAGAGGCAACCCTCGAACCCGGTGGTGGAAACCGGTGGTGAAGGATGCTGTCAGGCTGAAGAAGGAGTCCTATCAAGCCTTTTTGGCCTGTGGGACCCCAGAAGCAGCTGATGGGTACCCGACAGTCCAAGCGACATGCGGCTAAGGTGGTCGCTAAGGCAAAAACTCGGGAATGGAAGGAGTTTGGAGAGGCTATGGAGAATGACTTCTGCACAGCTTTGAAGCGATTCTGGTCCACCATCCAGCATCTCTGGGGGGGAGCGGTACGCCACCAACACTGTTTACAGTGGGCGTGGTGTGCTGCTGACCTCAACTCGGGATGTCATGGGTCGGTGGGCAGAATACTTCAAAGACTTCCTTAATCCCACCGGCACATCTTCCACTGAGGAAGCGGAGCCTGGGGACTTTGGGTTGGTCTCTCCGATCTCTGGTGCTGAGGTCACTGAGGTGGTTAAAAAGCTCCTCGATGGCAGGGCCCCAGGGGTGGATGAGATTCACCTGGAGTTCCTTAAGGCTCTGGATGTTGTGGGGTTGTGTTGGCTTACACAATTCTGCAATTTTGCGTTGGCATCAGGGGAAGTTCCCCATGATTGGCAGACTGGGGTGGTGGTCCCACTATTCAAAAAGGGGGATCGTAGAGTGTGTTCCAACTACAGGGGGATCCCGCTCTTAAGTCTCCTTGATTCAGGGGTTCTGGAGAGGAGGGTCCGTCGGATAGTCGACCCTCAGATTCAGGAAGAGCAGTGCGGTTTTTGTCCTGGTTGTGGAACACTGGACCAGCTCTACACTCTCAGCATGTTCCTGGAGGGTACGTGGGAGTTTGCCCAATCAGTCTACATCTGCTTTGTGGACTTGGAGAAAGCGTTCGACTGTGTCCCTCGGGGAACCCTGTGGGAGGAACTCTGGGAATATGGGGTACTAGGTTCTTTGATACGGGCTGTTAGGTCCCTGTATGACCAGTGTCAGAGCTTGGTTCGCATTGCTGGCAGTAAGTCGGGCTCTTTCCCGGTGAGAGTTGGACTCCACCAAGGTTGCCCTTTGTCACAGATTCTGTTCATAACTATTATGGACAGAATTTCTAGGCGCAGCCAAGGTGTTGAGGGGATCCGTTTTGGTGGCCTTAGGATCGTGTCTCTGCTTTTTGCAGATGATGTGGTCCTATTGGCTTCATCAGGTCATGATCTACAACTTTCACTAGAGCAGTTCACAGCCGAGTGTGACACAGCCAGGATGAAGATCAGTTCCTCCAAATCCGAGGTCATGGTCTTGAGTCGGGAAAGGGTAGAGTGCCCTCTCCGGGTCGGGGAGGAGGTCCTGCCCCAAGTGGAGGAATTCAAATATCTTGGGGTCTTGTTCACAAATTAGGGAAAAATGGAGCGAGAGATCGATAGGCGGATGGGTGCAGCATCTGCAGTGAAGCGGGCACTGTACAGGTCTGTTGTGGTGAAGAAAGAGCTTAGTCAAAAGGCGAAGCTCTCAATTTACCGATCTATCTACGCTCCTACCCTCATCTATGGTCATGAGCTTTGGGTTGTGACTGAAAGAACTAGAACTTGGATACAAACGGCCGAAATGAGTTTTCTCCGCAGGGTGTCTGGGCTCTCCCGATAAGGTGAGAAGCTCGATCATCCGGGTGGGACTCAGAGTAGAGCCGCTGCTTCTCCATGTCGAGAGGAGCCTGTTGAGGTGGCTCGGGCATCTGGTTAGGACGCCTCCTGGACGCCTCCTTGGTGAGGTGTTCCGGACACATACCACCGGGAGGAGACCCAGAGGAAGATCCAGGACATGCTGGAGGGACTATGTTTCTCGGATTTCTGGGAACGCCTCGGGATTCCCCGGAGGAGCTGGCCCAAGTGGCTGGGGAGAGGGAAGTTTGGGCCTCCCTACTTATCTGCTACCCCCGCGACCCGACCCCGGATAAGCGGAAGAAAATGGATGGATGGATGTTTATTTAGATAAAGTTGGACTGTTTGTGTGTGTTTTTTTGAACTGATTACACTGCATACACACACACACACACACACACACACAGGTGTGTAAACAGCAGAGTGGATCACGTAGCTTCTCACAAGATGGCTGCCAAAATTTCTGCCTTCATCAGACAGTGGCCACCCCAGTGTTTAACTCTTTCAGTGATTGGAATATACTGCTAACATCCATCCATCATCTTCACCTACTTCTTCCTTACATTTCCTAATTTATTGGAGGACAATATGCATATTGTTGTTTTATTAGCTTCATGATTTCTAGAATTTTCTGGCTACAGTGCAAGAAATGTTGTAGCTAAAGTGAAACCTGTTCATACAAACTACTGACTGTCATCATGATGTTTGTTTTTAGCTACTAGGTGCAGCAATAAGCCAAACTGACATGTAAGAAAAGGGAAGAAACAAATCAAGCACAGAACAAAAATTAAAATGATTCACAGTTCCTGGAAACTCAACACTTCACAGAAAAGGTTAAATGTCATCTGGACATGATGACCTGATTTAACCCTTTTTACTTTCAACATTTTTCTCTAAACTGAACCTGTCCATCTCCTGACGGCCGACTCATTCCCCAGACAGGTTTGTTTTATAGGCTTTGCTGCTGCTCAGCTCCACTGAAGCATTTCTGTCTCTGTTCCTGCAGCGCCTTAGAGTTAAAGGCTCAGCTCAGACTTCCTGTCACATTTGTGTTTTAAAGCATGTGTGCTAAAAACAGCATTTTGAAGGAAATCAGTGGAATACCTCTCTGTTGTGTGAAACTCAACGTCCAACTCCTTGTTTTGTTCAAGAATGTTTAATGGACTGCTGGTCCTCCAGCTCGCACTAAATTTAGAACAATTTAACGACAGGATAATGGACGGAGCCTTCAGGACATGTTGTCAGTATAGGAGAGTCCAAAAACCTCCAGATCTATTCTACCAAAACAAGAGGTTATGTAAGAATGGAGATTCACTTCATCTCATCTTGTTATCTCTAAATGTGAAAGATGACTTCTCTGAAGGTTGTTGGTGTTATCAGGAGGATGTGGTCCAGCTGACACAGCAGCAACAGTTCTCCACCCACCGACAGGAACAGTGAAGAGACAGAAACCTACTTTTCATAACCGTTTCCTGCAGCTGAATTGACGGTTGAGATTTAAATGATCAGAATCTGTCAGCAGGTGTGTTTAACCCACGTGCAGGAAGGCAGAGACTCCAGGTAAAAGTTAAATGTATTTATTTTCTAATAACAAAACAAAAACGCTGACAGGGCAGCTTACTCACAAATAAATGGCGGACAGGATGGAGGACAAATCATGGCACAAGGAACACAAGGAGGAGGAACACTGAGGGGTGAATGAAAACATGAGGAAACAGAGAAAGACAGGACAAGAGCCAGAACCATTACATAATGTATTAGAAAAGAGATGTGCATGACCACAGGAGATACTCCTCCACCACATTTAACATCAGACCGCTGATTGGTATGTATACAGGCAGCAGCTAAAAACAAGTCCAAAATAGAATGTGTTCATGGAAAGGTGCTTTTTGGTTTAAAATCCCAGTTGCATGGTCTCACTGGATGTAAATGTTGAAACACAATGAAGCGCTTTATGAAATTAATAATCAACATGTCCAAACTTCACCTTGTCCAGCTCACTCAGCATCTGACCTCGACTTTTCTAAACTACTAGATTAGCTCAAGTGGTTAGGACATCTCTTCTGGGTGTCTGGTGGATGTCTCTTTCTGGACATGTCCCACAAAATGAAGGCATTAAGGACTCAGAACTTTCAGGATGAATTGTACAAATATCTTTTCTGGACTCGTAATCGCATTGGATTGTCTGGGAAGAGCTGGACCTGCTACCTTTACAAGCAGAACATGGGCCAAATGAAGAACGAACAAATGGTGGTCCAGATTGGTCCAGACTGTGCCTCTCACACAATGACAGCTGGAGACTGGCACCAGCTCCCTCTCAATGCTGCATGAAAAAGCAGGTAAAGAAAATGGATGGATGAATGGATGGATGGATGAATGGATGGATGGATGGATGGATGGACAGATGGATGAATGATAGATCATATATGATGAATAGATGCTCATCATCTTTCCACAGGAGCCTCATCGTGAGAGCAGCAGGTACACTCCCAGCACTCTCAGTGTCTTTTTCAGGTTGTCTCTGGTTCCATCTTCCTGCTTGTCGGGAGTATCAGGTTCTCCAGCAGCTTCTGCTGCTGCACCCTGGATGTTTTTGTTGAACCTGTCGGACCAGCACAGAAGAACCTGTGTGTGTGTGTTGGGGGGGGAATCACTTCTACTTCTTCTTTTCTGACAGTTTCATAAAGAACGTTGAGTTCAGGCTGTAAACTGAACAACACCATCCAGCAGCAGCGAGTTCACTTCATGACTTCACTCAGTCAGGACACTGCAGGGGACCTGTCTGTCTCTGAGGGTGGTGTCCTCTCAGGACACTGTGTGGGACATGTTGTCTGTGAGGGTGGTGTCCTCCCAGGATGGAACCTGTTTGAAAGGCGGGGACTCGTGTCCTCTCAGGTTGCAGCTGCAGGTAGGACGCTGATTGGTGCAGCAGCAGCTGCCCTCAGCCTGTTGCTCCACGTCAGCATGTCCTGCTGCTGTCACGCTCTTCCTGGTGAACACGGCGCTGGCTTGAGGTGAGCGGCTCCTCTTCTGGAACAAACTTGATTTTTTTTTAACTTTCAGCGTCTTTTATTTATTCTTCTTGCTTCGCAGGCGGAAGTTTGGAAAATGACACAGTTTCCAGCGTGACGGAGGAACAGCGGCCGTGAGACTCGTGGGTTTGAGTGGAAACGTCACGCGACTTCTTTTGAAAACGGAAAGACACGAGGAAAGGCGACATCAAAGCGAGTGGACGATGCTGACACGCGCGAGCAGGTGAATGACAGCCGTATTAGTTGAGCACTGTGTCTGACAGCTAAAGTCGAATCAGGAAGTAAAATGAGGCTGAGGCTGCTCAGGAGGAACGTGCTCGCGCTCCTGGCAGTTCTTCTGGTTGTTGCCACCCTCCTACTCTCCACGCGCGTCCTGGTGGGCTCTGACAGTGACCCAGGAGGACCTGAAGGGCCCCAGCGCCCCGCTGACATCAAGTTCAGCTTCAGCTCCCAGTCCGAGCTGTCCCAGTCCGTTTACAGAGCCAACCACAAGCAGCTGGTCCTGAACGCAGACAAGTTTCCAGGGGAGCCCCAGCTGGTCCTGGTGGTGCAGGTTCACAACAGGCCCCAGTACCTCCAGCTGCTCATCAGGTCTCTGCAGAGAGCGGCCGAGGTCGATGGCCTCCTCCTGATCTTCAGCCACGACTACTTCTCAGAGGAAATAAACACCATGGTGCAGGGGATAACGTTCTGCAAGGTGCTGCAGATTTATTTCCCCTTCAGCATGCAGCTCTATCCCAAAGAGTTTCCGGGGCAGGATCCACGAGACTGCCCCCGAGACGCGTCCAAGGATGACGCTCGCAGAACAGGATGCCTGAACGCTGAACACCCCGACTCGTACGGACACTACAGGGAGGCTCGCGTCACGCAGACCAAGCACCACTGGTGGTGGAAGCTGCATTTTGTGTGGGAACGCGTGCACGCCATGCAGGGCTACAGCGGTTTCACCGTCTTTCTCGAGGAGGACAACTACATCCTGCCAGACTTCTTCAGCTTTTACAAGTCCATGCGAGAGTTCAGAAAGGACAGATGTCCAGATTGTGACATGCTGGCTTTAGGGAACCACAATGAGCTGCACGACTTCAGCAGCATGTCCAACAAGGTGTCCACCACTGGATGGATGTCCACCAAGCACAACATTGGCATGGCCATGTCCAGGGAGGTGTACTACAAGCTGATGGGCTGCAGCGACGACTTCTGCACCTACGACGACTACAACTGGGACTGGACACTGCAGCACCTCTCGGGGACCTGCATATCAAAGCCCCTCAAGGTGCTGGTGGCCCAGGGCTCTAGGGTTCTGCACACGGGAGACTGCGGTCTTCACCAGAAGGAGAACTGCAGACCGGAGTGGGCCTTAAAGAAGGTTGAGGACAATCTTCAAAAGGCAAAGCTCGGCCTCTTTCCTCAGGGTCTTGTCTTGAGCGGGTCAGAACCGGTGGAGCACAAGGCACACATGAAGAACGGTGGATGGGGAGACGTTCGAGATCACTCTTTGTGCAAAAACTATTCCAAACGTCTTTAAAGTGTGCCTTTATTCTGGGCTAAAATGCTAACCGCTAGTCCATAAATGTGCCATTTGAAAGAACTTCTCAGGGTTATAGAGGCTGTAACGGGCTGCTCTTTTCTTTCATCCATCAGGGTCTAAACCATCATACCACGTGAAGCTCGACTAGTTCTGTCTGTAAATCACCAAAGCTGCATCTGGTGCCAAAACCGTTTTTTCCTCTAGTGATGAGTTCAGGCTCTGACTTGTTTGTTTGTGTCTGGGTGTCCCGCGCTCATATGAAATGAGATGAGTCGTACCACGTGGTTGCGATACAAACATCATAAATGATCTTTTATCATGTTCACTGACCAGATGCTGCTGGATCAAAGTTTCCAGGAAAGTTTTTATTTTCTGGGTGGTTGTAGTGGTACGATTTAAAGATGTGACAACTGAAATGTTTATGTAATGGCAGGGTTTGATCAAAAGGGGTTAAATATTTTTGTGATAAATTAAACTGGTGTTTGTTCTTCAGCCATTAAAGTGAATTTGCTCAGTATTTGGAAAATCAGTAAAAAATGAATTTCTTCTTTCGGCTGCTTCCTTCTTCAGGGGTCACCACGGTAAACTAACTCGCACGAAGACTTGGTGATTTTTACACCGGGTGTCCTTCCTGATGCAACCACCGAGCTACCACAGCCTTCTGTGTGGAGCAGGGAGCTGCTATCTGGGACACCCACGGGAGCAGATGGTGGGGCAGATGAGGGTGGAGGCAGGTGTGGATGCTTCACCTTTCCCACCCACATTTTGATGTTGTCATTGCGGGGAGTTGAGCCGACGATGTTCCGATCACAGGTCCACCTTCTCTAGCCTCTTCAACCCCCCCCCCCCCACAAAAAAAAAAAAAACAAGTATAAATTGCAGTTCTGTTAGTCATGCTGTCACCATGGAGCTCCATCACCAGTCAGATGTAGGATGCAGGTTACTGGAACACTGAAAGTGCACACACTGATTGTGCTCGAGTGATAATTTGTTATCCAGACTGTGTAGCCTTAATGTGTACACGACAAGCTGAGGTGACGAAACTGTTGGACCCACAGGGATTTAAAAAGCTGCCTTCTGGTTGGAGCTGGGTTAGTTTGAACCTCCTAGGAGCCTGGCTGCTCTCACTGTCTTGAGAGACGTCTTCCTCTGCAAACATCAAGGTTCTCTGCGATGCTGCTTTTCTGTATTTGCACCTTCTGTGTTCACATGAAAAAGATTTATTAGTGAGAACAGAATAAACCATGCTGGGATTTTTATTTATGATTAAAATACGGATTTAAATGTTTCCTTTTATCTGTTTATTATACCTTAAGTGCCTTTTTCTTAAACCTGTCTGCGAGGTTTTTAACTGTGCATTGAAGTCAACTAAATACTTGCACCACAATCTTCCAGTTTTGTTCTTTGAATGCAATTTTGTTTAATTTAGTTTAAAAAAAAAACCCTATTCTGTTTAAAATGACTTGGGTCTCGCTGATCTTGGATTAAAGGTCTAACCACCTCATGAATCTTCCTAAAATATGAACTGAAAGTGATCATAAAATAAAATCTTTATATTTTTGTAGCAAAGCACAACTTTCAAAAACATCTTGGGAAAAACGATGCAGATGATCCAAATCACTAATGACAACTTCTGGAGTTGTGAGGGACAATAATGATTCTTTAGCTACTGCAACTGAGACCAAGCTATTGTCTGTTTCTTTGTTCTAAAGATCATTTGAAATAGTTGTTCATGTTTCACTGTTTGCTGAATGGGGAAATAAAATTGGGAATTTTCATTGTTTTGTTGATAACAAATAAAATACTTAAAACAATTCTACATGTTGTGACAAATGTGTAACATGAGCTTTATAGTTCAAGTTTTATAGGAATGTTAATTTATATCAGGTGAGCTGCTCAGGGCTGAACTTGTTTTCTAAATAAAACAGGGCTATTCAACTTGCGGCCTGCGAGCCATTTCTGGCCCGCAGGTGACTTCAATCTGGCCAACTTCATAAATAATATATACAATAATAATAAATAAAATAAAAAATTGGGGGGGGTTGCTGGGTTTGGATTCTGTTTATTGCATTTTTGATTAATTTAAATTCAGAAATACTTCATTAATCCCAGAGGGAAATTATTTGTTGTAACTTATTTCATTAAGAGATGCTATAGATACTGATGGCTGTAGACGGGAAGGATCTCTTGTAAAGGTCCATCCCACAGTGGGTCCTAAGAAACTGGCTGCAGATGCCGTCTGATCCGTCCACCCAGACTCGGCTGGCCTCTCGGTTCCCCCGGGCTGTAGGACCACCCGAATGCTGGGAAGAACTCCTCCCAAAGCGATGGCCACTCCTCCCAGCAGTCTGCTGAGCTCCTCGTCACTGCAGACAGCCAACTGTAGGTGCCGAGGGACGATCCTGTGCTTCTGCTGTCATGAGCCGTGTTTCCTGCTAGTTCCAGAATCTCAGTGGTCAGGCACTCGAGCACAGCTGGCAGGTAGATGAGAATGCGTCCACAGAACATCCTTTTCAACTCATTTGAGATTTGGGGCTGTAGTTGAGATATTATTTGAGCTTTTGAGATGTTATTCAGCTGCAGTTGGTTGTAGAAAACTGCCTTGTTGCCATGGTTATGCATCATAACAAATGTCCAAAACAAAAAAAAAGTTTCTGTAGAAATCCTTCCAGCTGCACAGCATCCGATACCAGAGGAAACAGTCATCCAAAAAATGTGATTTACATCCAGAAAAGGAGGAATTAAAGTTTCCAAAAACAAAATCTCAGAATGAAAGTAACAGAGCTGCTCCAACATGCAGCTACCTCGAGCGGCGCAATTCTAGAATTCAGAATGCAATAACATAAACAAATTTAAAAGGTAACGGATCATGGTAAAACTCAGTTTATATACATAATGACTAATCGTTGGATGTCCAGCCCCTGAGCTGCTGGCTCTCGGAATACTAAAATACTTTCCAAATACTTTTTGATTTGAGAGTTTATCAGTTTTTCTAGAACCTTAGCTAATGCAGAGTTTGGTCAATAGTTGTTCAGTGAGTATTAGTATGATAGTAGTAGTATTTAGTATGATATAGTATGATGAGCATGCATCAGGATATTTAGTATGATAATTATTTTAATGTTAGTCCTTCAGTGGGAGCAGAAAATGTTGCCTTTTGTCTATAATCAATGTATTAAAAAAGGAATATTTTTAAGAGTGTGATGAAAGGACATTATTTCTTGAAAACAACCCAAGTACTAGCAGTTTAAAGGCCTGTTGGTTGTCACGTGATCGCACGGCCGGTTGTCATTGGTCAGCGTCTATGCGTGTTTATTTCCGGAAGTCAGTTGTCGACGGACTTTTCAGACTAACAAATCTCTGATCTTCAGCACCGCACCTTTAGGTAACCATTCAAGTTAGAACGAACTAAAACAACCAAACTTTGTGTATTTGTGTAGATAATCACTTTTTGTCGCGGTTAAAGTCTGCGCGTTTGTAGATGTAGGCATCGTCAGTTAGCCGTTAGCTCTGCAGCTAACGTGATGGACGTTTGTTTTCGGCAGATGTCCCAAATAATTAGAAATAAAATAAAGACCGGAATTATGACTGTTCAAAGTGAAGTTAAATGGTAAATAGACTGTACTTATATAGCGCCTTTCTATCTTATGGAGATCCTCAAAGCGCTTTACACTACAAACTGTGTCCTCATTTACCCATTCATACAGCACAATACTAGATCTCTACAGAGCTAATTGAACAAATCATTCTTAATAGACTAATCAGAGCTTTATCACATTCATGCACACATGGGACACATCGGAGGCAACGAGGGGTTCAGTGTCTTTGCCCAGGAACACTTCGTCATGTGACTGCTGGTGGATTCGAACCCCCAACTCTTGCATTGGCGGACGCCTGCTCTAACCACTCAGCCACAGCCGTGTGTGTAATGGACATGATTGCTTTTTTCCTTAAGGTGTAATTAATAGGTGTTAAAACGTTTCCCACACATCGGGTTTTAGTTTAAACGTTAGCCTGTTCACATCAGAACACGTCTCTAATTGAAGACAAAGTTATTCAGGAGCTTATCTTTTTTGATGGCTACTCATGAATCTGTGAGAGTTGAAGCTCAGTCTTTGAGCCTGTTGTCACCCTGTATGTTTGTCCCTCCTTGTTGTAGCTGTGTCCAGACCAGACCCACACGATGGCTCACTGGTTCCACAGAAACCCACTAAAGGCCACATCGCCGGTGTCCTTTAACTTCTATGGAGTGGCAGGAAGCCCCGCTGCCAACAAGATCTGCAAGTATGTCTGATCCCAGATCAGTCCTGTACACACAGTCTTTATCATCCAGGCTGGGCTGACAGGCTGCTGGTGTTAGATAATGATCTGTTCATACACTGGCTTGTAAAAAATATTCCCACCCTGGGTACTCTGTTTGGTTATTTCACAACTTGAAACTTTAAAGCAGTCTGGGAAGTTTGTTTGGTTTAGTCAACATAATTTCCACTTTGGGTAACTTTAAATTGTCCCTAGGTGAGAGAGAGAGTGAATGGTTGTTTGTCTCATTTGTCTGTGTCCTTGTGATGGACTGGAGACCTGCCCAAGGCGTCCCTGTGATTGACTGTAGACCTGTCCAGGTGTCCCTGTGATTGACTGTAGACCTGTCCAGGTGTCCCTGTGATGGACTGGAGACATGTCCAGGGTGTCCATGTGGTATCCCTATGATGGACTGGAGACCTGTCCAGGGTGTGATGGACTGGAGACCTGTCCAGGGTGTCCCCGCGCCTTTCTTTCTTATCGAGATACTCAAAGTGCTTTACACTACAATCTGTGTCATTTACCCATTCATACAACACTCTACTAGAGCTCTACAAAGCTAATTGAACAATTCATTCTAAAGAGACTAATCAGTGCTTTATCACATTCATACACTGATGGGACACACGTCAGAGGCAACGAGGGGTTCAGTGTCTTGCCTAGGGACACTTCGGAATGTGACTGCTGGTGGATTCGAACCCCCAACTCTTGCATTGGTGGATGACTGCTCTAACCACTCAGCCACAGCCGCCCTAGAGCTTTAAAGTAAAGGGGGTGACTACTTTTGCATGCTGGTTTAAAATAATTTAAACCTAGATTTTATCTTCAGTTTTTTGTGTAGGCCCATGCTTCTATTCAAAGTGAAACTTTAAATTTCAGATTCAATTAAATTTTCAATTCACTTTATATAGTGCCATATCACAGCTGTCTCAGGGCATTGAACAGGAGCATTCACATACATAGAAAAGCCAATTAGTAAAGTTCTCTATCTAAGGAAACCAGCAGACAAGTTGAATCTTGGCTTTGTTGCAGTCTTCCATTCTGAGCAAGCACAATGGCAGCAGTGGAAAGGAAAAACTCCCTTTTAAAAGGAAGATGAGATGAGGTGAAAACTTTTCCAACCGACTATACAGACGAAAATAGTTTAGTGGCAGAGCAGATTTTCTCTTTCTGCTCGTTTGAAGCAGTTGCATATCAGATGAAATCACTCGGGATTCTCCAGCTTTGCAACCTGAGATTTTAAAACAGTTCTGATCTGCAAACAGACCGGATCTGAAGAGTAACGAGCAACAATGCTCTGTAGAGCATCTGAGTGTTGATCAGCCTGTTCAGAAGAAAGCTCCTCCTTGAGAAAGCTCCTCGGATGAGGGGCGAAACGTTTTCTGTTACAAATAAAGTCCAGTTGTTTTTGTATTGAACGTTTTTTGAAAAAAATCAGCCCGTTCACCTTTTAAACACATCGTTTGTTTCTGTCACCTCTGTAAGCAGGATCAGCTCGGTTGTTGGTTTAAGCTAAGAAAATGTTTGTTTGTAGTGCTACTTTGGTAATAATAAAACCAAATTATGTAGGGCTGCAACTAACGATTATTTAAATAATTGATTAATCGTCCGATTAATTTTTCGATTCATCGATGAATTGGCAAAAAGAGTTGTTTTTTTCCATCTCTTTATTCCAAAATAGAACACTTGAATGACAGCAAATCGCACATAAAACAGGTTGCTACTTTACTATTCAGTAAGTATAATGTTAAATAATAATAATAATAAAAAAAATTGTCAAACACCTTCAATAAAAAAATAAATGTACACAAAAATATACTTTTTTTATAAAGTGCAAAAAAGAAGCATTTGGTATTTAAAGGTCCTGAGCTGTTGGAACAATATAAAAATGATAAAGAAACGCAAATCGGAAAACCCTTTAACAGGATTTTTTTCAACATCAACACTTGTGCATTACTACAAATGTAGAGAACAAGTAAACATGACATTCCACTCGCTGGTTCACACATCTATTCACTCCCTTTCTTCAGGAAATTTGAATTGCAATGTAAAAATGTTAGCATGTCAACATGCTCCTGACTAAGGCTGGCTCTCTTTTGGGAAGCTATGTTCCCTGCTGCAGAGAACAGACGCTCCGATGGTGTTGAAGTACCTGGAATGCATAGGTAGGACTTGGCTAGCCTGGCCAACATTGGAAATCTGTCTCTGTTAGCCTTCCACCACTGAAATACATTTTCTTCCTTGACAATGCTCTTTTCTCCAAAGTACGTGAGGACTTCGTTTCTTACTTGGTTTTGAACATCCTCCCCTTTGCTTGCTCTGCCCTCGTCTTCTCCATCAGAATCAAGGAGTGACTCCAATAGGGTGGCAGGAGGTATTGATTCAGCAGCCTGAGTATCAGAGGTGCTACTGCAACTGCCATGCTGCTGCACATCCATCTCCATTTTTTCTGCAAGTGCCATAGTTTCCAGTTTAGTTTGAACTAGTAGGACTTCAGCAGTTGAAAGAAACTTAAGTCTCCTAAACCTCGGGTCAAGGGCCGTTGCAAGAATCACTGTGTTAGGTGCTGTATCTGAGAAAGTAGTCTCCAATCTCCATCGCTCCTGTAGCTGCTCTGCAGCAGTGAGTTGAAAAGCTCGGAGAGGGGCTGACTCAAAGGCAGTACTCTGGGTGGCCTTCAATAGCCGCTTCACAAGTGGAGGTATGGCAGATATTGTTGTGTACTTCTGTCCACTCATGAACACAGTGGCACATTCAAAAGGCTTGAGAGCTTCTGAAAGTTTTTCCAGCAGGATCCACTGTTCTGGTTTCAGATCCAGGTACCTTTTGCCTCTTGGTGTGATAGAGCTGTCAGACAACGTTGCCATTACAGGCCACCTTTGCTCAAGCAGTCAGCTTATCATATAAAATGTGCTATTCCATCTATTTGTGCTCAGGTGTGGCTATTTGTTGTTGTTTCTCTTTCAGCTTAGTGCAGGCCAGCTCGCTTTT